GATTGGTGATTGATAGAGAGTATGGTTCATCATGGTGAAAGCTTATCTGTGATGAATGCAAAAATTTGGGATGCATCACATGGGGTGTGGAGGGCCATGCACTATCACTAAATTAGAGATGAAAGAAGATATTTTAAAACATTAAAATAGGAAATTATTTGGACTCTTGCATGTTTATATAACGTAGATTAATGATTTAGTCAACTAGGCATAGCAATATATGATTATATAATACAAATATATGTCTTGAAAATTATTGCAAGAAAAAAATGAATTCTAATTGTTAGCTTTTATAAAGACCAAAAGATGATAAGTATATCCTACCGGTCACCACTAAATTAACGATTTATATACATGTAACTATAATTACAACAAAGTTACACTTGGCTAGTGGATATGGCGTTGATCTCTTTTGATTTTCCGTGGACTATGTTTTTTTTTTTTTACAAGAGCAAATGATGAAACCATAAAACATTCCTACTGCAAATTAGCGAGATTAATCCGGCAGTTTCTAGCTATGTCATTGGCCTTTCCGTGGACTATTGAGGTTTGCATTTGGGTTTATAATAGAAATCGAAGCTTTGCGATCCTTCTGGATTTGAGGAGATTCGAGTTTCATAAAATGATGATATAAACAAATATTTGTGTGTGGGGCCAGGTGCATAGAATATCCACTAATAAAAGCAAGCCTTAGCTACTAATAATACTATTACGTATGGGATATTTTTTTTTCTTTCTTTTAACTTTTGAATATGCGATAGATATACATGCATTTGCTACTTTATTGTGTCTATTTCACGGCGAAAAATAGTTTATTGAGGTATTTGGAATCTTGCTGAGAAGGCATTCGTATGCCCCTTTGTTTGTTTTGTAGTCCATGGAGTCTAAAATAGTCCGTTTCACTTTACCTACCTTCTCTACGCTTCGTTTGACCCCAACTTGCTTCCCAAAGGCCACTTTATCTAAAAAGACAAATAAAAATAGATGTATACAAAGTATTATTAATTGAAGTTTTGTTGATTAGAATTTTATATGAGTACATGTCTACTTGTTACGTGCATAAATTTTTATGCAAAAATATAGAGGATAAAATAATTTTCTTACAAAGTTAGATGATGTTTTGCTCATCCGATTTCATTTAATTTAAAGAATAATAAGTTCAGATAAGAATTTATTGAGGAAGTTGTAAAAATTTATGAAAGTGTTATTTTGAAATTTCACGCTAAAACAACTTAATTTTATACATGTTCTTTCAAAACTTGAAAAGATTTTAAACTTGTACTTGAAAAGATTTTAAACTTGTACTTATTTTTAAACAAAAAATCCCTTTCTTTTTTGGGCGAAGGTTTTCATCTACTGATTTTTAATCCACTTTAATTCAACAATCCTATTTAACTCCAACTAAGTTTTCATCTACTTACCCTAAACAATATATTATTTGTACTATATTTTTATATTCATCTTAATCAACAATATCCTACCACAACTCATATTGTTAAGATACGTGTCCAAAATTGAATATCGTATACAGGAACAGAGGGAGTAATTTTTATTTTCTTCTAACCGAATGTTGCAAGGACAAATGAAGTATGGTCAAGTGTTGGCAAGATGTCATACACTCACTTATCTTGCGAATAATGTGCAGAAGAGAAGTAAATAGTCAAAGTAATGCTTTTAAAAAATCCTTATTACATGATTTGGGTTGGTGAGATGTCAAAAACTCATACGAACACTCATACATCAAGCAAATCAATCAAGACAAAGGTCAAGTGAGATATTATAACACTTAAGAGAAAATTTGATTTGGATAGATTTAACAACATTATGATAACTATGAGTTTGCTCACTATATATAAAATTCTTGTAGATATTTTAGTTTAAAACCCAAAAAAACAAATGTTTGATAGGTCAACGAGGTGGAAAATGGCATTTATTTAAAAGATTAATGCTCTTAAAGTTAAGAGTTAGGTATACTTATGGCCTATTATTAGGTTTCTCTTTAACTTATGGCTTTATTGGCTTATAGTCATGAACCTGTTATTGTTAACACAGTGATTTTGGATAATTTCATGTTTATATAGTACTAATAATATCCTAGTTCAAACTTTGCCTAGATTTCAAAGTCATCATTGAAATACTGCATATTTGTGAAGTATTGGACATTATATGTTTGGATCAATTCATATCGATAACACAATTATCAAGCAAGGCTTAATCCAGTAAAAATATTTGTATTAAGGTTGTGAGATCAAATTTCACTAGAGATTGAGATTTGGGATTCTTTACCCTGCTTCTCACACCCAAAGGGCCTAACCTGCTAACCCAAGTTAGTTTGGCCGGTGAGAGGAATTTCACAAATAAATGAATGTGATTCATCTATATAGTCTAATTTGTAATTGAAAAAAATGAACTTAAGATGCATGATTTTAATTTCAAAAGTAAGATGTATGAAGAATCTAAAGTTAAATTAAAAAGTGATTACTAAGTTGGGCCTTTTCTTATAGTTGAGGACTATATAAGGTACATATATTCTAACGCTCTAGTGGGCCACTCTTTACAAACAACATAACACATACAGTTTCAGACTTGCAGTTCCATGAAAATATGTTAACTTTGACAACAAAAATAACGATGCTTTCTGCATCATTAAAACGGTGTATTCTTGTTTTTTTCCACACACAGGAAAGTTGCCCATTACCCAATTTAGGTGATGTATGACTTCTTGAAGGGCCATATGTTTGACAACCCATAAAGAAAAGTACCTATTAGAGCTACCTGGTTGTTTCTATGTTCGTCATCCTTTTCCTATGAGTAAGGCGAAATAGCTAACATGTTTATTACTCTGTATTTAACACCAAATAAATATATTGGAGTAGAGTTTTTTTTTGTTTATCTCTTATAAGCAACTTTATGTCGGTTTTTGTTACTCCGTAGGTATTTTAATGTCGATTCAGATGGTGTTACGTGAACATTTTGGATTAATTCCTTTTATTTTCAACTACTACATGAAAAGACTTGGGTCCCAGTACGTTTTTTTCTTGTGGCTTACATCAATTACTGCTTAAACACAATCTATCTTTTTCCTGTAGCTCTTTTAACCCTTGATTTCCCCGTCTCCAAAACCATATGTTTTCTCCTGTAAGCAACAAATCTTCTTGTTACAATCAAATTTGGCACTAATTTCATGTCGACAAAGTCATTCTATTATTCATGGTAGGAATACTTTCTCCTCAATCCAACCACATATGGCCCTACATTAACCAGAAGCTTATTGTTCCTTTATTACTGTGGCTCATTAATGAATATATATGATCCATGTAGAAACATTCTATTTACTATTTTTTTTCTTATTAGACAGTGGAAGTAATTTATCTGAAACTGATTTAGCTCAATTCTGGCTCGAGTTATAAATGAACTGATTCGACCCATAAAATTAGTAACTATTTGACTGCAAACCTAAAAATGACACGATCTGAACTGAAACCAAAACTGGATCAATCAATCTATTTTCTAGCTTAATTGCTTCTCAAAAAATGACTTGTATGTAAGATTAGCTACTGGATAAATAAGTATGTTTTCTTCGCATTATTCCCCCCCTCCTAACTTTAGTACTAATGATGCTTACAATATCTCTGATTCTCTCTGTATCTCTGGCCATTTTGGCAGTCTGGGTGTTGCAAGCCACCAACAGATTGTGGTTATGGATATGTGAATGAAACCTTATGGGGACCAGGAGGTGGGCTCGTAGGAACCAACTCAGACTGTGGAAGATGGAGCAATGACCAACGACAGTTGTGTTACGATTGTGACTCCTGCAAGGCTGGTGTCCTCGCAAGCTTGAAGCACAGTTGGAGAAAGGTGTCTGTGATCAACATTGTCGTATTAATACTCCTGGTCATCTTCTACGTTATCGCTTATGCAGCTCTCCGAAACAACAAGAGGATGGACAATGACGAGTCCTATGGCGAAACCAGGATGACCAAGTCACACCCTACTGCAATGCATTTCTAAAACCATCTATGATTGCGGTAGCGATTTCTGTTGTTTAAATATATTGGGACAGAAATGGAGCGTATGTACGTTCTCCAAGGCTTCATATTTGGCGAATGTCATTTTGTTTTTTCTCAAGGTTTTTTGTATGGAGGGATTGGTTTGGCGTATAGATTGTACAAGGGATGTACTTTATCATCAAGATATGTAACTATTTTGTGGATCTCCGAACTGGGGAGTGTATGAACTTTGTATCCAACATGAAATAGCTTAAATTTGTAGAAAATATATGCTGTTTTGTTATATATTTGGATCATTAACGACGCTAAACTAATACAAGGAAAACTATCAATGTAGAGTTAGAGGCTTAGAGTGCTAAGAAACATGTTATTGCAACTAAGTGGTTATTTGGTAGACATAAAATTACGTAGGAAGTGGGGTAAAATTTGTTAAAAGTTCATGTGCTTTCTTAACTCAACAAACCAAAACAAGAAGATTGTAATTGAAAAACTAGCAAATTTTTTTTCATACTCCCTCAGTCCTTTATTCGTTCGAATTGATTATTTTGTTATTTTAAAATAGTTATAATTTTCATTATTTCAATTTTGATAATTACACTTTATGCATCCACATCTCACTAAAGTAATCACATGCATCTTTTATTCAGCTAAACCACAAATACTTTATGCTTTTTTTCTCCACTAAATTCAATATAAATCATTATTCTAGTTCGCTAAAAAGAATATTTATAGAGGACATGAAGATTAATACAAGACAATTACAACATAACAAGATGCAATTCAATACACTTTCTATAACAAAATTTTCATTATTTCTCCTAGTGATAGGGGCGAGGAGACTATACGATCAATCAGACATTGCAAGAGCAAAGTTTTGGTCCTCGGGCTTAAGCTGAGAGTTTGCATCCTTACACTCCAACGAACATTTTCGATCGAGAGCATCCATAGTTTTCAGAGGCACCGGTATCATACTACCCTGTCCCTGTTCCAAAGAAATTTGCAACAAAATCTATTATGAATAAGTCACTTGTAACTATTACTAGTTCTTATTAGAGTACTACATAAGAAGACCATTTGGAATGTACATCATACAATGAACCGAGAAACCTTGCATCAGATAATCTGTCTAGAGTTTGTGGAAAACTCACTAATTAAGCAACTTCACAAGAAATGAGTTCTTACTAGTTACTACTCCCTTAATTATAGGGGTCAAGTCTGCATCTATTAGTTATTCACTTATTCTCTTGTTATTCACGTGTGACTATTAATATTTCATCGGTATGTGTATGTTTAAGTGACAAGTAAGGAGGGAGCATCTTGCAACATAGATCACGACTTTAAGACTGAAGTTGCTAAATGAGATGACAATGCACCAAGGCACATATGCCTTTGTCCTATGGGTGTTCGGTAAAAGTTTTGGGGGTGATATTCAAGACCTAGGATTAAAGGGTGCTAGGTAAAAGTTTTGGGGGTGATATTCAAGACTTAGGATTAAATCCCGTCAACATCATTGCCCTTGTGGTTCTCTCTATACCAAATGAGCTTAGAATAGTTTTTTTTAAATCTCAAACAAATTCCTTGTGTTCAATGATACCAAAAAAAAAAAGGGAAAAGGGTATCAAATATAAGGCAAAATAGCTAGTCTTGGTCCTACCTGCCATTCAACTTAGATACAAAGTAGCAGCAAAATCAAATTGCAGTGTGCAATATAGTACTTGCAACAACACAATATCTTTAGTAGATAAGCGAAAAGCCCTTAATCGACGCAATATAATAGCCACATTGTCTCAATCCTTCATAATAATCAAGGACACAAATACAATTAGAATTCACCATAAGACTCACATGAGATTTGTACATTTCTCATACATCCCTCCTATCGCTCATTCTAAGTAGGGCCATCTTGAGAGATCAAATCGTACGTTACAGTAAAATGCTAACAACTGTATCTTAACATCCCATGAAACTAAAATAGTACTGGATGGAAGATTGGGAGGAGTACTTATCCTTAGTAATGACCAACAGGCTAACATACAAGTAACAAGTCTGGAAAATCGTTATTAGGCCTCACATAGCTCGCATTCTAAGAGGAGACTCGAACTCTTTCAATAAAGATCTAAAGATCACATTTTTGCTAGCATCTGATCGAGAATAAATAGACCTGAATATGGTCAGAAATTGTCATTGGAATCTGGTGGAATACCTTCCATGTACAAACATCTTAATCTCCAAGCCTTATATTACAGGTTGCTGATTTAATTTCCAAGTTCCATTTTAAAGGACAAATTAACAATATTAAAAGCAGAAAATTAACCAAATTTCAGGGGAAAAAAAAACCCAGCATGCTCTAACAAAGAATAGGAATTTCTATTAAAATGAACAAGTTCTCATGTGCCTGGAGATTATTGGTTAAAAAGTTGCAAGCACACAACTTTTGCGAGTTCAGGCTATAGCCAAAACTGCAAGTTTATAACGAGGTCATCATACTTCTGATATTAATGATAAGAGTAACAGAATGTTACAGGTGGGGTGAGTAAGCGCGTTCTATCTGCATCAAATTTAAATAAACAAATCCTACCTCATTGGATGATGAATAAAGTTGTTCCTCAAGTTCACGCAACATTTCGATGCTCATCCCATGCCATTCATCAATCCAGGCAAAAATATTGCTGTGTGTTTCAAGAAAAAGCGCCCTCTCACCCTTTCAAAGAGTTTGCATGTACATAAGTAGCATACAAAGTACAAAAAACTAGCCAACTTATTTCAAATTAACCATAATAATATTCAGACATTTAAAGACACAACATTTGCAAACTACATATATTCAGCTTCAAAGACTTACAGCATTAACATCTCAACAGCTAAAAGTAAGTGCCCTTATATCAAGGAATACTATCACACTTAACTTATTAGAGAAAATTGGTGATTATATGTTTATATTTGAGGTCAACAAATGTTTGTAAGTAAGACCCATTGCAAGCCAGATAATAAATTGCACTTCAACCTTTAAGCCTAAGCACTACATTATATACGAAGTGTATGTATGTAACATATAACCTAGAACCTAGCGTACACGAATTGCACCCTTACGCCTAGCATGAAAATTGATAATAATTAGGGAATAATGAGAATCTCCCAATACTACATAATGAATTGGTTTATCCTAGTAACAATATTAGGTAAAATTAGTGCTAGTAGTACAAAAGGTTTAATGTATCAAAGCAATATCTCTTAGGTCATTAGGTCATGAGATATTCAGCTTAGTTGCTTATTGATTTTAAGATGGTTGTGATAAAACATCACATGATAGTACCCCATGTTTGCCTGAGTAAGCCGATAATATCAATGCTAATTTGCTACCACACCTCTCATAACGAGGAAATTGCCGTCTTATATAACCTTAGTTCTAAGGAAATCAGTTAAAGACTCGAGCTACTATAAGTGTATGTAAAAGAGAAGAAGGATTGATGCCACTTACTGCCATCAGCACTTGCTCCAATCGTTTACCAAATCCCCAGTATGGAGCATCAACCGTTACTAATTTATATGCTGTCATAACAGGGTTGCAGCGATCCTGCATACATCAACAATGCCCAAATAACAACATTAAGAGGTATACTCTTCAGTAAAATCTTGCAGTCTAGTCAGATAAATATTACTAAAATCAAATTTTCACTCTAGTTTTCAGACTTTATTCCTCACATATCAATATCATAATTCCAGAATTTTTATATGTGAATATTCTGTAAGAGACTTTCAAGTTTCAGAAAATAAGTGGTTATAAATTAAAAGACCACTTCGTATAATAGATGCACCAACTAGAAAAGAGCGTTATAATTTTTTTTATTAATATTATGGAGTATATGATCTATGTGTTGGGCATTAAGTTAACAATCATTTTTTTTTTTTTTTTATAAAATTATGGATTTACGAATTATTTAACCCAATCAAAAAGACTTCTCATGTCTGCTATGAGGTCACTTATAACTCATGCTTTAATTTAGGAGGGAGCTGTAAGAGGAGAAACCGACTTAAGTGGCTTCCACTTTAGTGTATCATATAGATTTAAGGATAGAGGAGTTGATGGTACGAGGTCCTACTTCAATATTGCACAAGAATGACAAGTAGGAATGAAATAGAGGGGGTCAGAATGAGAAATTGTAGTTTTACTCTCCAGCCTTCCACCAAAGGTCCACGATTGGTCCTTGTTGATTTGAATTTGGATAAATCGACATTACAGCTACCAACCAAATAGCTCCAATAGTCCCTTACAGATGATGCAATATCAATAACTTCCACCTGCCTCGATGCCAGCTGATCTTTGTTTAGACCGTGTACCTGTAAAATCACAACTACTAGTCAGGAGTGGCCACCGGCCAGTGCAGTCCACAAGTGACTTGGAACAAGATATACATTGCAGATATCAGTTTTAGCATAGATGTCCTCTCTCCCTATTTTGAAGCGTGTTTTGATGGTTCATGTTATTTTCTCATTAAGTAGCTCAAGTATGTAATTACGAGTCCATATGAAACTAGAATCCATAGAAAGTCTGCAATAGCAACAAATTCAATAACACCTACAGTTTCTGATTTTCCATTATCTGCAACGTGAATCGTATCAATAGTAAGAAGCAGCTTGCTCAAGCTTGAACACTATATAATAAGGAACTAGTTAGCTGATGAATCATCAAAGAAAAACGCTTTAGAAATTCAAGATTATGTCAGCAGGACACATACCTTAATCACTAGTGTTCAGGGTCCAGTTGCATATACACAGAACATTCATATCAGTATATATTATAAGAATAACAAGTTTGTGAGAAGAAAACAAGATTTTGAATATATGATAACCTGATTTGCATTTGGGATATGCATTCCAGGCTTCCTCTTTCAGAAGGAGGGAATCTGCTGGTGCAAATGTGGTAAGCCAAGAGGGGATTTTGCTGCAGAAGCAGAATATGTCGTGAATGAAGTGAAATTAGCTAATGCCATGCAACTTAAAGAAGAACCAGAAGTTAATAAGGGCGACTTCTGATTTTACGTTTTCTACAATGATAAGAAACAATGTAATGTAAAGCAGCCATGACTATGAAAGCATAATTCATGCATGGTGCAGAAGCAGCAGAGCTGCCAGAATATTAAACTAGTGAAAGATTAAAAGGAGAAGAAAATGATTGATTAAATGAGTAAGAAGTTATAAGAAAACTACTACAATTTAAAACATCTAAAAAGCTAGTGAAAAATTAAGACTTCTCTTAAAAGAAAGCAAAAACTCCCAGACAAAAATAATAAATGAAACTGGATGCAACTCAAAGTTTTTGAATGAGACTATATCAGAGTGTGATAGGTTCGAAAATAGAGTGATTATTTGCATCATGTTCTGTTGATTAAACAAAATAAAACTATAAAGCAGTTAGCGAATTTAACAAAAAAAACATGTTAACAAAGCACGTACGCAAATGTAGGGTGAAAATAAAATGAAATAAAATGTCCTATTTGAGTATCTGTAGCTGTTAGTCATGTTGGTTCTAGTATTAGAATTTGGTGTGGCTAATTGAAATAAGTTTTTCTTGTTTACGATTATGATCAAAATTTCACATCATTCCAGCACATTTAAGAAAAATATGGAGAAATTGAAGAGCAGGCAACACATAATGTGCACAAATAGATGTTTGTTAAAGCATGGGGGACTTCGAATGGTCCAGACTTATTCACATGTCAGACAATCTTTATAGAACTTCGAATGATCCGCATACTTATTTACAGTTAGAGTTTAATAATACCTCTGGAAACTATATACTTTTGATGTGTAATGACCCTTTCCAATTATGTTGTCCTCAAAAGGTCTATTCTCCAGGACATCAACTCCTTCTGTATTTGTTGTATTCTCCTGTTGCATTTTTAGAACCATATACATTTGTGCAACCTCATACTGCAGATAACAGAAAACATGAGAGGAATATATCATTAGACCAACTAGAGACAAAATTTCAGAAACTCAATCAGTAGAAGTTGGACATTCTCAATCTTGATTTTTCACCTCAGCTAGTGACATAGGCATGATAATTCGACTAGACGACACCCAATCATCAACAGGTCAGAGTCAAGGAAATTCTTAGAAACATATTTGATCATGAAATGTATCAACTAGAAAGTAATATTTACTTGAATAAAAAGTAATGCCAAGTAACAAGCTGAATTTGAATAAAACCAACGAACACATGGATTTATAGCAGTTCACATAGACATGATAATGTTACTAAGTTTGTACAGAACTTAATTTAGCCAATTTCCTAGAACAATGAAAAGCTGATTAAAATAAAATGAACTGCAGCTAGTTACATTTAGTGAAACTTTCACAATCTGAACAAATTTTGTTGTATGCAACACAGTTAATACACTAGAATACCATATTTAACCTCAAATTACATTGATTAATTGAAATTATTTCATAACCGTATTACTCCGTGAAATTTTCATCTCATGTCTTATAAACTTAAAATGATAAGCCTAATTACTCCAAATTTTCAGATTGGGAAACATAATCATAATGCTTAACAACTAAAAACGCAAAAAAAAAAAAAAAAAAAAAAAAAAACCTCATTATGAAATTGATTGTTACGACAATAATACAAATTGAACTAGTAATGTAACAATTAAATCTAAACTGAGGTAGTAACTTTCTTGGGGCAATATTAAGAACAAAGGGCAAGTTCTATCAGCAACAACAAAGATGATAGATTGATGGAAGATTATTATGTTTTTATGTAACACTTACCATACAAAATAAAGAATGTGATCATTGCAAATCAAATGCACAACCATTAAAGGAAAAACTATATTCAATAAAGCTTTAAAAATGAAGCATAAATAATAAGTACATATAGAGGATACAATTCCTTAATTTGAACCATATTTCTTTCTTCCACCAAAAAATGTGCACTTCCTGTAACTCAAGCAGCTCAATTCCTCTGATCAACCAAAGTTACTTTCTTGCAAAAAAAATTAAAAATATAAGATGGGAAACTTTTGAAATTCTATAAAATTATTAATATTAAAAGAATATGAGATGAATAAAATAAATTTTGAATTTTTTGTTTTTTTTTTTTTGGTTTTTGGGTTATCTTCTAGAGAGGTAAGAAACTAATAACAGGATATTGAAGAGATTATTGGAATATTATTGGTTTAATAGTGGAAATAGTCAGCTGTTTGTTTTAGGTCCAAAAGATTATGAACCGTTGATTAGTAAATTTTTCTTAGCGTTACAAAATTGTTGTGTGAAGTTAACAAGATTGAAGAAAGAATGGCGTCAAAATATGAGGTTTGCAAAAATAGTAAGGTTAAGTTGCCCAAATAGATTGTTTTGGAGTGAGCAAAAGTTGAATATAACTTTCCATTTTTGTGTTTAGAAATGTGGTGGAAGTTATTACATGTGCCTATCTTTCATGAAACTTCTGAAACACTTTCGGTTATGTTGATGTTTGAATTTGTATGGGTGTGAATGTGTGATGTACTACGAGTTTCCTCGCGGAGTCGCGGTCACACGGTTTTAAGAGCATGAACATGTAAGAGAAAATATTATCTTTTCTCGACTTTCTCTTCTCCTTGATAAAATTCTCTTTGATTTTTCAACAAGTTTTTATATAAGTAGGATTAAGTTAGGATTTGGTATCAAGATTTACTATGACCATTAATATTTGTAATTATATGTAAATAGAAATTATAAAATCTAATTTTATAAAGCTAAATTATTATTACTATTATTATTATTTTTTTTTTTTATTACTAGAAGAAAAAGAATTTCATTAATGAAAGATAGTCAAACGGTACTTACAAACAAATTCTAGAAAATCTAAAATTCCAACACAAGTACAAATCATCTTAGAACTAGTTACATCGCGGATTCGTTCAACGATCGCCTTAATAAAAAACTTCATCCGAAGCAATACAATCTGTGAGTTAGCACTAATTCAGTTTGAGATGCACTGATAAATAGTTGGTTGAGTGAAAATACTCATATGGTCTTTTAGATACTTCCGAAGATTATGAAACCTAAATCTTCTATCTTCGGCAGAGAAACAAAAAAAGAAATTAACTAATAGAATAATCACTATTTTAAAGATGGGATCCATTTATTAAAAGTAATTAAAATGTATTTTGGGGCTTACCACCGGTAAAAACACCGGTGGATGCCCCTACAGAGATTCACATTTCAGATTAGAAGAAAAGAAATGAAAGAGAAAGAGAGAAAAGGAGAAGAGTGAAGGAAAACCTTCAAAAAAGCAAAAAAGAAAAATCTAGCAATGTATTGAAGGCTAGAAAAACCTTCCCAAGTGAGAAACCCTATAGGGAACTAGAAAAACCCTCACAAGGAGAAACCCTAGAGGGAACAAAAATCACTAAGCTAAACATTGAAATGAAGCTTTCAATATCTCACATGATTGGATGTAGTTTTCCGCATCGATTAATGAGGACAATCCTAGCGAAAGCGAAAAACACTACTAAAGGCTATGATTACAGTGGTTGTTGTATCGAATAACCATTCGTTGGAATTTTTTTTGTAGCAAATATAATTGATACAAAATGTTAAAATAATAGCTACGAAAAGGTAATTTTATTGTAGTGTTTTTACTCTAAAATAGCAAATTCATTATATTTCTACTCAAAAGTCTTCATGGTATTAGAGCTTAAATCTTGTAACAAAATTATCTATTTCTCTCATCAAACACATTATCAAATTAATTTGGGAAATTCTCTTTGGTATCACCGTACTTCTTATTTTTCTCTTTGGTAAATTGGAAAAAAAAAGTTAATTATCTTTGGTAACCTTGTATTTTTTGTTATTAAGTTAGTCATGACATTAATGGAATTATTAGACTAACTACAGTTAATTAGGGGGGGTTCAAAAATTGGTCCGGACCGATCCAGTCCGACCCCTGACTGGACCAAATTAATCGGTCCGGTCTCCGGGTCGAGAAATTTATTATTTCAGCCCGGTCTGGTCCAAAAACCCTATAAAAACCGGTCTTGGATCGGACTGATTTTTTCCTTAAAATTATACATAAAATCTTTAATAATGATTAAGATTATCCTTAACAAGCTTAAAAAACTTTAGTCGTATGAGTTTTTTTGTACTAAACATATAAAAAACAGACATTTAAATATTGTTTTTCCTTTATTTTTTTTAGTTTTCCATTAATTATTCAAACTTTAGGAAATTTTTTAAAAATAATTCTAAATTCGGTCAAAATCGGTCCGGGTTTTGGACCGATTTTTTGGTCCGATCCGGGTTTGGTCCTATCTTAATCGATCCAATCTTCGATTCGTGAAATTCAATTTTTCGGTCCGGTCCAGTCTTGGACCGATGAACAGCCCTACAGTTAATCATGGTGAACGAAATATGAAGTTAATCAAATACCCTTAAAAACATTTCTCAATTACCCATCACCACTTAATATTTACAGCTCCCCACCACTGCAACCTTAACCATCACCCTGGAAAACACCACTGCCCCATCCTAAGAGCACTAGCAATGGTGAGGAAATTTTTTGCTCATGAGCTTTTTTTGTGAGGAAAAAAAATGATCACCAACCACAATGGTGAGAAATTGGTGAAATGAGAAAAAAAAAAACACATGAGCAAAACCAAAAAAGCTCAAAACTTGAGCATTTTTATTGATGAATAGTAACTTGAGTGGGGCCCACAGCTGGCTGGAAAACCCAAAAAATTTCGGACCCTCAAGCATCAAAACGACGCGTTTTGATGAAGCTGCCTCAAAGGCGCGCCTCAAAACGCGTCGTTTTGAGGTAGCGGAATTTTTTTTTAAAAAAAAAGCAGAGCATCTGACGCGTGCAGCGAGGGAGCGAATGAAGAAGCGACACGTGGCGGGTGCAGTTTGCCAGCCAATCAGAAAATACTAGCCGTTTACAACGGATATATTTTTGTAATCTATTTTCTGAAAAATATATTTTGCAAAAAAAAAAAAAAAAAAAAAAATTACCAACGGTCATAAAATTAAATTCTCTATAAATAGACATGCATTTTGATATATTTTGATATAATTTCGTAAACACTTTAAATCCTCCACATTTTAATTTCTTAAAAGTATTTTAAATTTGTAGAAGAATATTGTTGTTGCAATTCACCCATATTCAGGTAACAATTTTTTTAAAAAAATTATTCTAATATAATTAGTATATATGTGATTTTTAAAAAAAAAAATAAAATTGTAGGGCATGTAATTATATTGCAATATGTAATTAAACAAAGTTGTGTATATTTTCTCCATAAATTTCTAAATTTGTAGTTATTAAAATGTTGCAATTATTGGTTAATTTTTTTTTGCTATACATAAATGTAGTTACGTAATAAAAATAGTATATATGTGATTTTATGGAAAAAAAAAATTAAAGGCCACGAAATTAAATTGCATTATGTAATTAAACAAAGTTGTGTATATTTTCTCCATAAATTACTAAATTTGTAGTTATTAAGGTGTTGCAATTATTGGTTAATTTTTTTTGCTATATATAAATGTAGTTACGTAATAAAATTAGTATGTATGTGATTTTTTGAAAAAAAATCAATATTATGGGCCATGAAATTATATTGCATTATGTAATTAAACAAAGTTGTGTATATTTTCTCAATAAATTTCTAAATTCATAGTTCTTAAAGTGTTGCAAGTATTGGTTAATTATTTTTTTTTAATATGTACATGTAGTTATGTGTTAAAATTAGTATATATGTTATTTTGTGAGGAAAAAAAATATTGTACGGCATGTAATGTAATTGCATTATGCAATTGAAGAAAGTTGTTGATATTTTTTTGGATTTGTTATCATTTTAATTTGTTTTTTGAGTAAATGTTTGTAACGATATTTATCTTTTGTTTTTTGATGCAGAATCTTTTAATGGATCCAAACAACCCAAATTTCCGTCAACAATTTTCGGGTTTTAGTGATGATTTCCTAACTAATCCCGAGTTTCAATTATTCTTGCAAAGAATGGGCAATATGTCTTCGCAACCACCTCCACTGCATCAGACACCCACTGTGGTTCCCCTACAAAACCCTGCTAATGAAGATCGTACACCTGGAACTGATCTTGGTAGTAACACACTCTTCGATGAGAGCGAAGAGGAAAGCGTACCAGAGACGCTGCAGTATCCTCCTCCACCAGTTCGCTTGTTGGAACCCAACCAAGTTCCTGCACGAGCTACCCGTATTTGGTCTGTTGCGGAAGATGAAGCTCTGATTGGGTTGTACTTGCAGATTAGCGAGGATGCTATTAAAAGTACAAGCCAAAAAGCAACTAGCCTATGGCGCAATGTACACGCAGCATATCAAACTTTGCATACGCAGAAGCAGCATATAATTCCGCCAAGGCCTATTAAGAGTCTGACGTCGCACTGGAGAAGGTTGGCAGCGGACACACTGCAATGGATATCTTGCTATGATGAAGAAGGTAGACTTCCGGAGGGAGGGAGTGGTTACAATGAAGCTGATCGTATGAAAAGTGCGGCGAAGCTTTTTCATGTCGCCCAAGGTCGCAATTTCACTTTTCCTCACGCAATTGAAATGCTTAATAAGGATCCAAAGTGGAGACCAAAGCTGAGATGGTCAATGTCATTGAAGGAAAGAAAATTCGCTTGTGATGCTGAGGAAGAAGGTAGTGCTGGAAGTGGGAAGAGGTCCAGAGATGATGTAGAGGATGAAACCCCTACGGATGGTTTTTCATCTGGCGGTTTACAACGACTCGAGGGTGTCAAGAAGGAAAAGGCGAAGCGTAAAGGGAAAGCAGTAGCAACAGAAAGTGGTTCGTCTGAGCTTAGAGAACGAATGAAGGAATTCGCTACAATTCGCAAGAGGGAGGCCATTCTGAAGGAAGAGAGGATCAAAATTGAAAAAGACAAGGAACAGAGGAAAAGGGAGGAACTTGACATTCATAAGATGAAAACCTGGTTTGATATGGTGCAAGCTCTGAAGAATTCGCCTACGCCACTCACTCCTGAAGAAGAGTCGTACAAGAATTTTTTACTGGGTAAATTACAAGGCCTTTAAGCATGTTTGGTTGTAGTCTTTTATTTATTAAGCGCAATTTAGTCTTTTATTTTTAAGTTGTATTAGTGGTGTGGTTAATTTCAATGTAAGAAAGATGTACACTTGTATTCTGATTTTCCAATATTGAATGAAAAGTTGTTTAACAAGTTGATTTAAGTTGTCATTCATACCGACATAATTGCTTTAAATCTTTGTCATTGTGTAGTCACATTTTTCTGATTTCACTTTATCAAAATGCTTTAATTTTGTGTCATTGATATCGACATAATTTCAATAAATCTTTGTCATTGTATAGCCACGTTTTCCTATATTAACTTTATCAGAATGCTTTACCTTTGTGCCATTGATACCGACATTATTGCACTCAAGACTTGTCACTGTCAACTAGCATAGTATACCTATTCCGTGGTTGAAAATTTGATTCATGTACTTGGTGTGGTCATTCATATTTGTAACCACATATTCATTTGATATTTCTGCTATATATAGTAGGCATGGCACATATCCACAACCACACCCATTCATCAAGTAACAATATTAATACAAGATGTATTCTAGACCATCATCAAGCTCAAGTTCAAGCTCATCTTCTTCAAATACTGAAGAATATGATCAACTTGTTGATGAACTCTTCACATACCAACCCCCATCTGTCCTCATGCCCCAAATACAATCCCAACACACTTCAAAAAAACCTAGAGGGGGTACGAATAGAAGAGATAGGGATATTGGACATGACAGGTTGTTTAATGATTACTTTTCCGATAATCCTGTGTACAACACCACCCAATTTAGAAGAAGATTTTGTATGCAACGACCTTTGTTTGTACGTATAATGAACAAGGTCGTTGAAGGTGATGTTTACTTCCAGCAGCGTAGGGATGCAGCTGGAAGGTTAGGTTTATCACCTCTGCAAAAATGTACAGTGGCGATAAGAATGTTAGGCTACGGCATGGCTGCGGACGCCGTGGATGAATACGTTCGGATCAGTGAGTCAACCGCTCGAGTTGCCCTTCAACGTTTTTGTACCGGGGTCATTGATCAGTTCGGAACCGAGTACATGCGAAACCCTACAACTGATGAATTGGCCAGAATACTGCATCAAAATGAACTGCGTGGTTTTCCAGGCATGATAGGCAGCATTGATTACATGCATTGGGAATGGAAGAACTGTCCAACGGCTTGGAAAGCGCAGTACGCCGGTAGGAACAAGAAAGCTACGCTAATATTGGAAGCCGTTGCAGATTAGGATTTATGGATATGGCATTCCTTCTTTGGTATTCCTGGATCTTGTAATGACCTTGATGTCTTATACCGTTCCCGAGTGTTCGATGAGGTTCTGCATGGTCGAGCTCCTCCGGTAAATTTTACCGTTAACGGCCATGAATACAACATGGCATATTACTTAGCCGACGGTATTTATCCGAAGTGGGCAACTTTTGTTCAGGGTATCACAACCCCTCAACTTCAAAAAGATAAATTGTTCGCTGACCACCAGGCTGCTGCTCGAAAGGACGTTGAAAGAGCATTCGGTGTTTTGCAAGCTCAATTTGCAATAATACGAAAACCGTCACTGGCGTACGATGAGGACATACTGCGAGACATAATGAAAGCATGTATCATTATGCACAACATGATTGTTGAAGATGAGCGCCACAACTACACTCGAGCCGAAGTTCTAAGAGCCTTCTTCGAAGAAGATCAACAAGAATCAACACCAGCATCAACATCTACAACGCCACCGTTTGAATTCAACGTAGGCCGACCTACCAACTTTGACTTCAACGCATTTCTACAGCGAAAAGCTTCCCTCCGTGAAAGAGAAATTCATCTATCTCTGAAACGTGATTTAGTCGAACATATTTGGCAACGATACGGGCCACGTAATTAGGGAGAAATTAGCACGACTTAAATAAAGCCAAGTACTATGGCGTAGCTACTTTTCCGTACGCAGTCGATTTATTTTTTAGTTGTTGTGTTTATTTTATTTCCTAAGTTTAATTACGCATGACGTTGCAAATGTAATTGGTTTCTAGTATTGTACCACTTTTAAAATAAATAAAAACATTTAACAAATTTTGAGCTTTTTTTTTACTATTTTTTTTACTTAACGTACTTAATTTTACGACAAATTTTAACGATAAAAAAGACAAAAATAAAAAATATAAGTTACACAAATTTAAACTAGTTTTTATTTATTTGGAGTAACATTGTTAAAATATAAATGAAATAAATAAATAAAGAAGTGTTGTGTAGGAGAGAGAAAGTAATGGTGGGGTATTGAAAAAGTAAGAGAGAGAGAGTGGTGGGTGGGCATTTTTTTTGCTCACCATTGGGAGAGAAAATGTGAAATTTTTTTGCCCATGAGCAAAAGTGATTTGTTGAGAGAGAAAGTGGGTAGAGAGAGAGTGGGTGAGCATTGCTCACCATTGAGAGTGGTCTAATACCCACATCAAAATCGCACTACCCCTCAAAATCGCCGTACATCCCAAAAAACACCATTATTCATCCAATACCTACTCGAATCCATCCCTCCCACCCTTCAAAACCGCCCCACCCACCCTTAAACGCCCCCTACGACCCACCTAAAACCATCTCCTCCCACCCCTCAAAACCACACACTTATCCCTGAGAAAAGCACCGTCCATTCCAAAACCTACCGGAATCCATCGTTTTTCACCTAACCAAAACTGCTCCCTCTACCCCAAAAACCATCCAAAACCACAACAAATCCACTGAACTCACCAACCCACTTTGAAAATAATACTTTACTTACTCAAAACCAACAACATTTACCCAAAAACCCATAACCCTAAAAATTGGAATAAAAAAATCAAGAGTAAAAATGAAAACAAACCATTTCATATTATCAATTATAGCTTAAAACGACCAAATTCGGCCAAAAAAACTCCAGATCTGGAGTTTTGTTGGTTGGATTTGGTATTTAAAACTCAAATTTAAAATGGTGACAGCGGTGGGGAGGGTTGGTGCGCCGGTAGGAGGGAAGGGGCAGTGTGGTGGTGGGTGTGTATGTGAAGACAGGAGGGAGTTGCGGGTTATGGTAGTGAACTGGTGATTTGCTTTTTTTTTTTTTTTAACAAACTAGAGACTTGCTTTGATGAAAAAGAGAGGAAATAAGGAAAAAGAATGATCACAAAATAAGGATGACTATTAAATAAATGAGGGCAAGTATGTCATTTTATTTTAATTTTGTCATTGGTAGCTTAAACATGGTTAAAAAATTAACAAAATTATCATTAATGTCATAATTAACTCAATAACAAAAATACAAGATTACCAAAGATAATAACTTTTTTTAAATTTTACCAAATAGAAAAATAAAAAACTTAGTGTTATTATAGGCACCTTTTCAAACTCAACCTTGAGCCCCACTGTGATCATGCTTTTAGGCATGGTGGCGTCCAAAGGGAAAGAAGATAGAGATAAAAGTGTCACCAACAAGTTTTAGGAACTTGTAAACCGTTCACGGGTGTGAAGGTTACACCCCATTCACGATCACGGAGATCGCACGGAGATCGCTAACTCCATAATGGTCTAGAACCATGACTGGATATTCGGGGATGATGATACAAATCCAACCTAAAAGAGATTGAACCCGCCCTATATCGGCTTCTACTTAATTCTTATGATATTCATGTGCGCTTCTCGATCAACATACATACATCAAATTAATCCTAAGCATATTTAATCTACGTTGGTTGATTATTAATGCATAATCATATCTATTATTGTCGATCACTTGAATTAAAATCATATTAACCTAAATTAAATTATTAATTATCTTATTAAGCGTGCTTTCAAGTACAAATTCCCTTTAAACCTGCAAAAAGGGCGTGATCAAGCAATAACAGTCAATCATGAATAATCAAGCAATGTAAAAGAGCACTACCAATGGCGAGCTAAAAATTTGCTCATGGGCATTTTGGGTGGGCATAAAATTTGCTCATGCATTACAATGGTGAGTAAATGAGAAAAAGCCAAAAAGTGCTCATGAGCATTTCTGAAAATGCCCAAGACTTGAGCATTTTTGAAGATGAATAGTGCTATAGCGGGCCCCACAATTGGTAATGGTTATATTTTTTGTAATGCAAATTCTGAAATAAATATTTATTAAAAAAAAAATTAAAATTACCAACGGTCATTAAATTTAATTCTCTATAAATAGACATGCATTTTGGTATATTTTGGTATAATTTCAAAAATACCATAAATCCTCCATATTCTTTATGTTAACGATAAAAACAACACAAATAAAAATAAATAAGTTACACAAATTTAGACTAGTTTTTATTTATTTTGAGTAATATTGTTAAAATATAAATGAAATTAATAAATAAAAAAGTGTTGTGTAGGAGAGAGCAAGTAATGGTGGGGTATTGAAAAAGTAAGAGAGAGAGAGCAGTGGGCAAGCATTTTTTTTGCTCACCATTGGGAGAGAAATTGTGAAAAAAATTTGCCTATGGACAAAACAGATTTGTTGAGAGAGAAAGTGGGTAGAGAGATAGTGGGTGGGCATTTTTTTTTGCTCACCATTGAGAGTGGTCTAAGATTGACACAGCAATCCTCATCATAATCAAAACATCATAATCAATATAATCATAATCTCACCAAAACATGATTAATAGCAAGATCCTAGGCATGATACTAAACGGATTAATAACAAATCCTAGCATGTCACTAATAAAAAATCATAATCAAAACATTATCCTAAACATGACACTAGAAATCATGATATTAGAAATATTAATAAAGCATCCTAACATGATACTAGGAATCAAAATCAACATCCTAACATGATACTAGGAATTAATATAATATCTTAAACATGATCTCTATATCAAAAGAATAATTAAGTAATCGAATTACTTCCTTGATGCCTCGTACTTCTTTCTATCAAAATAATACACACGTTAGTAACTTCAAGAAAGATTAAATCAAATAAACCAAATAAATCTCATAAGAATTGAAATATAGATTTAGGACCAAACCCTCAGAACTATCAACCTTTCAAGTCGAGGTCAAAGGCAACTTTGAGCTTGGCTTGGAGTATTCAAGGCTCGTGAAGGAGGTATGGTTTTTTTTTTTTTTTGGAAAAGTATCAAAAGATGTGTGTTTGGATGTATTGGGATGTTTAGGTTATGGCTAGAAATCAAGAAAGAAGAGAGAGAGAAAAGCTTTTAGCTTAGAGAGGGGATTAGATGATGTTTGTTGGTGATCAAGCTTGTTGATGATTGAAAACGGGGTGAAACAACCTCTATTTATAAGGAAAAAGAGGGTCAAAGGATCAGAAAAGAGTCAGAAATCAAATCAAAGTAAAACAAGTTACATCGCAGCGCGACAACCTTGTCGCGGCGCGATGATCCTGCAATTTTGCGGTTTTTGTTTTTATCATATCTTTTGATCCAGAAGAAGGAATAGTATAAATAATATATAGTTTGAAAGATCTAGAAGTCTACTTTCCAACCAATTGGAATAAAATTGATATCTTTTGTAGAATAAAAGATATGATCGAAATAGTGGGACAGTGTCAGTTTTGGATAGAGTTTGGTATTTTGTTCATATCTTTTTTGTTATAGCTTGGAATTGGATTATGATATATCATTGGAAAGATAATTTCAAGAGCTATCCAACCATTCAAGATTCGGATAAAAATTATGAGGCACGGAATTCAGTTTTGACCGGGATTAGGAATATCAAAAGAGAAGTTTTATTCAATATCAAATTCTTTAATCTTTATCTTTCGGGGAAAGGATAAATTAAAACCTTCTAGAGGATTAAGGAATCCTAATTGATTTAGGAATGGGATAAAGGTTAATGGACCCTACACATGGTCATTGGGTCATAGGTAAGGTGGACCTAGGCTCGATTTGGGCTTGGTTTAGTATTTTGGCCATAACTCATTTGTTATAAGTCGGATTTGGGCTTATAATATATCATTGGAAAGCTATTGTCAAACCCTATAATTGGACCAATATTATGGACCAAAATAAACTAGTTTGGACGTTTTTAAGGTTTGGACATGAAATGAATGATTTTAAGGACACGTAATGAATGATTTTGGGTTTAAGGACACGAAATAAATGATTTTGGATTAAAATGTTTTAGGAAAGAATAGAAATGGTCAAGGATTAAGGAAAATTCATGAGACTCTTCAACTAACTCGATAATCAAAGACGTGTAAGGTACTCATCACTAGGTTTGGTTTTTGGGGAGACACAATCAGGTGTC